AATTATATAACACAGGCTGACTTAGATCTATCGGGTTATGGTGTACAGCTGTTGAATTCTAAGAGAGATTTATTTTTGGAACCAATATTTTCAGCACAAGAAAGGTGTTGGGATGAATCTAAGTCATCCTGTGCAAATTTTTCATTATAAATGAGATAAAAGAATCTGATCACTGAATTGTAATCAAGAGGGTCATTTAAAGGTGTTGTGAATAGGCAAATAACCCTAATGGGAATAATCCATTGTTCAGACTCTTTGATCCCTTCATATTTTATACTCTTCTTTTATTCATGATACCTAGGTTCATTGTAAAGTTGTTCAATGCCCATTTCTTTCGAGACTTGATTTTAGGAAAAAGATACTATACTTTAGTCTATGTTTCTAATGGCATTGAAATATTGTCTGTTAAAACTGAAAAATTGTACATATTTCTCATGACTTGTAAAGAAATACACAAGTGTTCTTTGTAAAAAAAATTATTCTAAGAAAAATATATTTCTATCTCCATATGATGATTCTCAAGACGTGTTTTCCTATGAAGGAAACCGTAGAAATGCTTTTTAACTTTTCTTAATTATTTCACACCAGTGCCTATTGATAACTTTTTCTGTTACAAGAGAATCATCACTTGAAGATTAAGTTTTATATGACACAAACCCAAAACAGGAGTAGCCCTGGGATTGTAGGTTCTCTATTAGATTCTATAATTAATGCTAATAATTGAGATGGGATTAATAAAGTGTTTTATTTAGAGTATATATTTTTATTGCAATTTTCCTTTACAATTCAAAGTTTTAACCAACTCAAGCTGATGTATAAATTATATTTGTTGTATACTGTATGCAGTATTTCTAGCAAGAGTATTACAGTTTCATTTTCATTTCCTAAATTTTGTTTTCCTACTTTCTGACACATTTTAATACAATCTGTGATTCTTATATTCAGTTTCTTATTATAAATGTTTTTTTTTCCTTTGACTGATATTCAAACTTAGTAGTAGGTTACCCACAGATTTCTTTTAAGTTCTAATTTTTTTTATTCTTTGTTGGGAGTGTACCCTTAATGCTGCTTTCTTTCAGTACACATCAAACATTTGAACTGCCTTCAGAAATCTGAACAGGTAGTCATTCAGAACCTTGTGTACCATATGTTAAACCAATTTTTGAATAATATGCATAAGCAGGCAGTCCTTATTTTGGTGAACATAATTTGCAGCTTGAGAAAGTTCAGTTATGCCACAAAAAAAAAAAAAAATAAATATATAAAATGTTTATTTAGGTAAAAGTACACACAAGATGACTTACAAACAGATTATTTTATTTCTAGATAGAGCTGGTACATACTATGCCTAAAGCCACTAATACGCACAGCATTTCGGGCAAGATGTAGGAAAAACACTTAGAATAAAACTTAAAACTAATTGAGATCAAAGAATAAATTTAATTGAGAAAGGGGAAAAAAAGAAATAATACAGTACTGTAATTACATGGTGGATGGAACAGCAGAAATTTCAACAGAACAGCAGAATTAATTTTAACTAAATTAACAGATTATAATTTTCTTTTAAGTTTATACTTGGCAGATATCAGCAGTTAATCAAGTTGGTCACTAATCAATATTTTTTTAGAAATCGCAAACATAGGTTGACGTTAGGTAGATTACATGGAGTTTATTAAGTAGTACTTGGTTTTATCTTAAACTGGTCGATAGAGGTACAGTTTTTAACATGATTAGGAAGGTCATTCCACATTTTGGGTCCCTTGATTTGCGGAGCATTTCTAGGTTGGTTAAGTCGCACTCTTGGAATATCAAATAGATATTTGTTTATACTGTAGTGTGGTGCCCATGGCTTCTGTTACAACCTTCTAGGAAGCGTTTAAGGTCAGGATTTTCATTACAGTTTAGAGTTTTAAATGTATAAAGTACACTTTAGAGGATGTGAAGTGACTTTATATCTAACATATTCAAAGAGTTAAGGAGGCCGAGTGCTGTCTGGAGCCAGAGTTTGTTATTGTTCTAATAGCAGATTTGTGTTGAGTAATTAGAGGACGCAGGTGATTTTGGGTAGTAGAACGCCAAGTACAAATACCATAATTGAGACTGATAGATGAGTCTAATAGTGTTTCCAGGGAAGGCCAGGTACATAATATTTGATTTTAGAAAGTATGCCAACTGTTTCAGAAACACTTTGCAATATGTTGAAGACCTAGAAACAGCAACTGAATTTAATAACTTCTTTTCATCAATTGGTGCTAACCTTGCCAGAAAAAAGCCTAGAGACCCCAGACACATGTTACTACATATCTCACCGGCAGCTATCATAACTGCTAACTAACTACTTCTCTGTCTTTTCTGAATTCTGGTGAACCCACTCATGTTGAGTCCTGCACTCGTGACCTCTCTTGTCTTGATCTTTCTCTCTGCTGCTCGTCTTCTCTTTATTTAGATTTCACATTGCGGGTTCTTTATGACCTCTATAACAGTGCCGTTTTCCCCATCA